AAATTTCATCAAGTTACAAAGATATAGGGAGTAAAAAATTTAAGTTTCTGGCAAGTAATCAGTTTCTATAAAAAAGTTTTAATTAAAAACGTTTAGGCATAATGATAAAATGATAAAAAAAAAACATATTTTTAGTCTACTAAAAATCATATTTCTCTCAAGAAAATAAGGGGAATCACACGGTAAATACTTTGTGTGCTTCACAACGAAATAGAAAATAATTTTGAAAATTAAACATCTGAAAAAAAACTTCTTAACTATTTACTTTTCTGTTTCTAAACTGAAATCTCCGGTTTATTTGATGTACCGGACCCACTTCAGGTAGTACAGTAGTACAGTAGTACAGTACAGAAGTACAGTACAGTAGTAAAGTACAGTAGTACAGTACAGTAGTACAGTACATTAGTACAGTACAGTAGTACAGTACAGTAGTACAATACATTAGTACAGTACAGTAGTACAGTACAGTAGAACAGTACAGTAGTACAGTACAGTAGTACAGTACAGTAGTACAGTACAGTAGTACAGTACAGTAGTACAGTACAGTAGTACCGGATCTACTTCAGGTGGTTTAATCGAGAGTTGTACAGCTAGTAAACATTCAGGCTTTAGTCGGCAAAAGAAAAGACAGTACAGTGTACGCCAAATGCGTCATCCCTTTCTTGAAGTACAGAGTTACAAAATAATGTTAAAAAATAATTTGAAAAAAAAATTATTTAAACAGTCTGAAACTGAACAAATGAACTAGTGCTCTCCTCAAGCTCAAATTTCTAATCCTGATATATTTGAAACCTGATCGTGTAAACCTTCGATATTTCAGAATATTTGGAATATTTTTCAGAAAATATTCCAAACTCCATAAAACATAAAGCCTGTGGGGGGACATCTGACGCCCACCCTTCCCTTTGAAAAAAAAAAGACTTTGGGAGACCAACGCATGTTCACAGCCAATTTTGTCAAGTCAAGCCAATCTGTATCTAAAAGGTTGAAAAAGTTTTATTAAAATTTGAAGAAAAAATTGTTTTTGGGTAAAAATACTACACCCTAAAACATTTTTTTTGATTTACAGAATTTAGACCTGAATGCCTCATTTCGTATTATTTTTCTAGTTCTGCAATTATTATTTTCGTTGGGTTCTATCTCAAATTTCTGTTATTGTGTTTTCAGCTTGCAATAGAAGTGCATTTGAGAAACGCCATCATAAACTACAGCTCAGAAAACGCCATTTTTGTTTTTATCCCTTAACCCTGTATATCTCATTATTCTCATATCATTATCATATGTATGTATGTGGAGGGGGGGTATTTTACCCCAAACCCCATATCCAAATTCTGTATATGATGTATATAAAATATTCATATAAATGTGTACATTGCAAGTTAAACTTGTTAGGAGGGTTTCGGCTCAATTTTCAGAAACTGCATTTTTTGGCAGATTTGAACAAATCTAAATATTTTTAAGTAAAGAATGAATGACAAAAATTTGCAACATTTTTAAAAGTAATGCATGCTGTACTTTGCGCAAAAATCCAAATATTTTTACTCAATAGGCGCCAAAGGAATTGAGTTTTTGTAACAAACTCTGATTTTCTAATACCTATATTTTTTCCACCTGATGGAGTAAACCTTTGATATTTCAAACTTGGATTTTTTCAGCTTACAGAATTCATAGTTTGAAATATCTAAGGTCTAGGGCAATGGGTTACAAAGATATAGTGATTAGAAAATCATAGTTAGTGACAAATACTCAATTCCTTTAAAAAAACTTTTTTGCTTAATTTCTTTTTTAAATGCGCTGTGAAGGGACGTGTACCAAAATTTGTGCCAAATTCTTTGCAAAACTTGTGCAGACCTCCCTTTTGTCATGAGCTTTCCGACAAATCCAACAACCAAAAGTAAGTCTAAACATAGATTTAGTTAGGCACAGAGAAAAATCTGTGTTTCAGACAGTTTTTAGGCCGAAAGCCAGCGATGCGTGTGTATCGTTTCTAGAAAAGGGAAAAAAATGCATTATTAAAAAATTGTTCTTTTTAATTTTTTCAAATGGCATAAAAATATCAAACTGATATGAACTAGGTCTAAATAGAGAATTATATACTTTAAAATGTACGCATTTAGTGTACTTACAGAAAAAGGGTTATATAAAAGATTGAAAATATATACATATATTTATATATTATACGAAATACTTTTGATTTACCGTAATAAAGCTCTGTTTTTAGACAGTAATTCCAGGATAAAATATTTCAGCAATCTCTTTTGTAATAAATACTTTTTTATAAATATGTTTAACTCTGACATGAACTATTTTTAGGTTTGCTTCAAAACGGACACCTTAATTCGGTTCAGCCGTTTCAAACCTGGGACACACAAGCAAGCAAGTAAATATCAGTAAATTAATTCGCTCACTGTCCCTTTTTGACTCTTGGATCTCAGTAATATTTATATTAAATAAATCTTCTATTGTTCCTGCTGTAATGACAACATAAGCTTCATATTCGTTGCTTCAAAACTATTCAAAACCAAATATTAAAAAATTTGGTCGAAGCGGGCGTATTTGATTCAAATTACAGCGCAGTTTTACGGGGTGTTGTGTGAAGATTAAGGTTTTGAGAAAATAATTGTTTCACGCCATTGTGTGGTCAAGGGTTTATTATACACAAGCTGTCGTTAGAGTTGGGTCGAAGATTGGGTCTTAAAGTTGGGTTTAAGGAATTACGACTCGAGCCGAAGTTTTTAAATCGCGGGCTCGGATAAAATAGCTTTTATAATTCTTCACCCTCAGGTAAGCTTGCATTACGTTCTGCAGTAATTTACAATACAATAACCGAAGATATAGTAGCTGGTAGACAGTGGCTTCTGAGTAAAAAATCAAAGCTAGAGGAGCTTCGTGCTCACAAAGTCATACCAGTAATGTTGCATAAATATGACCTTCTCCTTCTTTCTTGTTCACTTTGAGACGTGTGAATAGAGAGAAAACAGTTCTGTAATTTATGAAATGTATAAAATCAAATTCTTTATTATTAATTTTGTTAATGGGTTTAAAAAATGTTATAAATAATTTTTAGTGTTTTAATTAGTATTCGTCGGAATAAGATTCTTATTATATATATATATATATAAAGGGTGAGTCAAAAAAAAAGTGTGATTTGCGGCGCCTGGTGCAAAATTGTACCTTTTTTATGCAAATCTCCTGTATGGTGTTTTTTCAATATTTTTTGAAAATTAGTAATTTTTTTGGTACTCCAATGGCCCAAAAGAGAATCCGCGAATCTTTTTTTTCTCTCAAAATCAAAATTTTAGAAAAGCAAAAATGTGCATTCATATTATTTCTCTCTAAATCTAAAATTCTATTAAGATTGAATCACGGAATCACAGAAAATTGGCAGAATTGTAATAAGAAAATTCGCAATTTTCAGTTCTGGGCTAATTTTTAAGGAAAAGTTATTTAAATTCTCTAGTTCCTTTCTTCTTAGTTTATTCTAAAGTATTAAATATACGCTGTTTAGTTGAAACCTTAAGAACCATTGAAAAAACAATTTTTCCGTAAAAATTATACCAGAACTGAAAATTGCGAATTTTCTAATTACAATTTTGCAAATTTTCTGAGATTCCGTGACTCAATCTTTTTAAAATTTTAGATTTCGATAAGACAATATATTTACACATTTTTGTTTTGCTGAACTTTTGATTTTGAAAGAAAAAAAGGTTTGCGGTTTTTTTGGCCATTGAAGTACCAAAAAAAATACAAATTTTCAAAAAATATTTAAAAAACACAAATCAAACTTTTTTTGACTCACCCTGTATATATATATATACATATTACTAGGCTTTTAATTGTGAACATTTCTCTTTGTGTATCTAAATTATAAAACATAAACAAACAAAGAAATGCGTGGATTAAAAAAAAATTCGTGGATTTTTAAAATGTAATAAAAATCTAATTTTGTTAAAGGCTAATTTTGAAATTTTGATCATTCATAAACTTTCCCTAGGATCACGTGAGGTCCCACAAAAAATTAGGCCCGATCGGCTCAGCCGTTTTGACGTTTATTGGATACAAACAAACAAAAGGACAAACGGACAAGCAACCTATATATATAAATACTAGGCTTTTAAGGCGCTTCGCGCCAATCGTCTATTTCAATTGTGAACATTTTATCTTTGTATAGATTGTAAAACAAAAACAAACAAAAATTTCACGGATTTTATAAAAAGAAATTTAGTGGATTTTCAAAATTTTCAAAAATAGAACTTTGTTAGAGGCAAATTTTTAAAATGTTACCGTCCATGAACCTTCCGTAGGGTCACATTAGGTCCACAACAAAATTTGGGCCCGATCGGTTAAGCCGTTTTGACGTTTATTGGATACAAACACATCAACAGACAAACAAACAAACAGACACACAGACACGCAAATTATTTATACAGATAGAGATAGATACCAAGGATAGACTCAACAGCTTAAAATACAATGTTGTATCTTGTACTTATTTGATTTATAAAAAATGCAATTCAGAAAAAGAAATCAAATGCAATCACACACTTGTAAAAATATTTATTTCTTTTTCATTGTCATGATTATGTATTATTTAATATACTACATTTTGCTCTCGCATTTTTGGCTTAAAAGTATAGAAAACTTAAAATAACGAGATTGTCATTGGTTTTTGTCACATACAGGGTGAGTAAAAGTAAAAAAAAGTGTGATTAGCGACGCCTGGTGCAAAATTGTATCTTTTTTGTGAAACTGTCCTGTATGGTATTTTTTCTATATTTTTTGAAAATTTGTAACTTTTATTGGTACTCCAATTGCCCAAAAAAAAATATCCACGAACCTTTTTTTCTCTCAAAATCATAAGTTTAGAAAAACAAAAATGTGTATATAAATTATTTCTATCGAAATCTAAAATTTTAAAAAGATTGAATCACAGAATCAGCATTATTGTAAAAAGAAAATTCGCAATTTTTAGTAGTTAGTAGTTATTAGATATACGCTGTTCAGTTGAAACCTAAATAGAACCATTGAAAAACAATATTTTCGTAAAAAATATACCAGAACTGAAAATTGCGAATTTTCTTATTTCAATTTTGAAAATTTTGTGTGATTCTGTGATCTTTTTAAAATTTTAGATTTCGATAGAAATAAATTATAAAGATATTTTTTTTTTCTGAAGAAAAAAAATATAAATTTTCAAAAAATATTGAAAAACACCATTCAGGAGAGTTGCACAAAAAAGGTATAATTTGCGCCGCAAATCACACTTTTTTTACTCACCCTGTACAATATATTTTCTTTAGATTTTGTAAAACTTTAAATTATTTATTATCAAATATTAAATACTGCAGTAAACACAAAAAACATGTTTCTTAATGCTTTGCTTTCTCCTCTTCATCTCTTTTCTTGGACAATTTTTGGGCCAGTTTTTCCAGTTTTATCAAGCTTAAGTGTGAAACTTCTGTCTTCATTTTGCCGTCCTATGAAATACAAAAATTTTATTTCTTTTCTAAGATGCACAGATTTTGTTTAAGTTGAAGGAAGTAATAAAACTGTATCGAGTTCCACTAGCAAGCAAGCAACGGTCCATCGAGAAATATAAGACGAGAGGTTGCGTGATTTCTTGAAATAAAAAGTTTGCGGATTTTGTGAAGAAAATACTAAAATCCCTGAACTCCAGTCTAACTCCAAGTTTAACAAGATGTGGATATTTCGGGATCATCTCAGCCAATGCATATTCTGAACATTAATTAAATTAAAATTTTCTAATTTATTGATTGCAAATCAAATTTATTAAAGGGACTGTCCACGTATTTCCAACTGGGCGTGGCTCTTCAATTCAAGAATACCTGCCCGCTTTACAACAGTAACTTCTAAACCTTTGCCTGAACAAAAACAATGAAAAAATACTAGTTAGCAAACTTAAACACTTTTTTGAGAGGGAAAATCGACGATATCTTGCCCAATACAATCCTGTATGCTGAGTCCATTAGCGTCTGATCCAATCAGGGTTTAGTCATATGTTTGTTGTCTATTCTGAACCAATAGAAATAGTATGGCGGTGACATCTATCTTCTTATCTATCTCATTATCCAATTAGAGATAAATTCTTATATCGGCGCTATCAGTAAATGGAAATATTTACTTCTTCTGAAACTATAGTGTATAGCTGTTCAGAGAAAGATTGAAAGGGTACCGTTGTGAATCACTTCAAATTACGTGTACAGTCCCTTTAAGTACCTATCGCTGAGCCTAAGTACATGTTGTTATACTGGTTGGCAATCTTTAGTTCCTCCAGACCCTTAGTGTTAGCTGTAGACCTTGATAGATGAATAGTTAGATAGATAGACACGAATATATATATATATATATGTATATATAGATTTTAATAGATAAATAAATGAATATATAGATAGGTAAATTGTATATAGATAGATAGATAGATAGATAGTTAAGTTGGTAGATAGATAGATAGTTATAAATAAAAAGAGTCTATATATACTTTGCTTGTCTGTCCAATTGTGCCCAATAAACGTCAAAACGGCTAAATCGACCGGGCCCAAATTGTGTGTGGGACCTTACATGACCACAGGGAAGGTTTATGGACTATGAATGCTTAAAGTAAAATAAAAATGTCAAAAAGTTTTTTATCTTTGTTAAATTTTAAAAATGCACGAAAAAAAAATAAATATAAATCCGCAAACTTTTTTTATTATTGTTTTGTATTGTACAAAGAGAAGATGCTCCCCGGATAGCCATAATCAAAAGTTAAAATAGAAGAAGCGCCCTAAAAGCCTAGTATATTTACATAGATAAACAGTTACATAAGTAATTTAATAAAAAGATAGATATTTAAAATAATCTTTAAAAAAAAGTTTACTTGATAATATCTAGAACCATCTTTCCAGTCACAGAGTTGGATTCCAAATTTAACTGTTTTATCGTGCTGTTCGACTAAAATATAAAAAGTGAAAAATAACATTTTCAAAATGTGAAGTGATAAAAGTATTAAAAAAAAGTAAAATATTATATTAAGTATTAAAAAAAACATTTCTGCAAAAAAGTAAAAAGAATCTGGAAAAGGAGTAGATCTGTTTATCTATGTATTTACAGAGGGACCTGTGAACTGTGAGAAGGGAGCAAGACATTTAAGAAATTTTATGTGAAATGGGTCTGTGTACACTAACAACTTGGAGAGATAGCTGAACTTCCTATCGCTGGTTCAAATCCTGAATCCGCAATCTTTGACTATGAATCGGTGATTCAGGATTTGAACCAATAGTAGGTAGGTTTTAAATGTTCATTAAATTTTGAATTGTTAAACCGAAGAAAAACGATAATGAAGGAAAGTTAAAAAACAAAACTCCTTCAAGCTAGTAAAATATCTACAATTAGGTAAACAGTCCCTTTAATAATCTAAGATGACCCACCTCCAGGCAGTCGCAGAGCATCTTGACAATAGAGTCGTTCAGGTCACAGTTGGCCGCCGATACAGCCTCTACTGTATTATTATCCTTCAGCACGCTAGATAATAATGATAATAATAATAATGATAATAATAATAATAATATAATAATAATAATAATAATAATAATAATAATAATAATAATAATAATAATAATAATAATAATAATAATAATAATAATAATAATAATAATAATAATAATAATAATAATAATAATAATAATAATAATAATAATAATAATAATAATAATAATAATAATAATAATAATAATAATAATAATAATAATAATAATAATAATAATAATAATAATAATAATAATAATAATAATAATAATAATAATAATAATAATAATAATAATAATAATAATAATAATAATAATAATAATAATAATAATAATAATAATAATAATAATAATAATAATAATAATAATAATAATAATAATAATAATAATAATAATAATAATAATAATAATAATAATAATAATAATAATAATAATAATAATAATAATAATAATAATAATAATAATAATAATAATAATAATAATAATAATAATAATAATAATAATAATAATAATAATAATAATAATAATAATAATAATAATAATAATAATAATAATAATAATAATAATAATAATAATAATAATAATAATAATAATAATAATAATAATAATAATAATAATAATAATAATAATAATAATAATAATAATAATAATAATAATAATAATAATAATAATAATAATAATAATAATAATAATAATAATAATAATAATAATAATAATAATAATAATAATAATAATAATAATAATAATAATAATAATAATAATAATAATAATAATAATAATAATAATAATAATAATAATAATAATAATAATAATAATAATAATAATAATAATAATAATAATAATAATAATAATAATAATAATAATAATAATAATAATAATAATAATAATANTGGTTACCATTTTATCATTATCATTATTTCATATATTATCAGTATTAGGATGTGTATGATACACAGAATATATTTTTGGTAAAAATCTCAATTTAAACTTTAGCATTATTCAAATTTTGTGATGTTTTTCTCAACACTTTTTAGCAAGTTGTGATGACTGTCTGCAATTTAACAAAGTTCACAAAATTGAAAATGAATTTTCATTTTAATGTTTAAAGGCACCTGACATACAGGTTTTTACAGATGGTCAACTTTATTAATAACAGACACTTAAACAGACTTGTTTTAAAATACAGGGTGTCCCACATCAATTTAGACCGCATCATTGGGTCTAAATTACAATTTGGGGGATAAATCAGAAATTTTGTTTGCAGAAAATGCTAGATTGTTTAGTATTATGTGCGTATTTTGGCGTTAAAGATTGGAGATAATCTGATATGATATGGGACGCTCTGTATAAAAACAAATCCAGTCCAATAAAGTCACCACTCCTGTATGTCGAGTCTATTAGCGCCTTATCCAATCAGGGTTCAGTCATGTGTTTGTTGTCTATTCCATATCTTATTATCCAATTAGATATGAATCCTTATATCGGGACTAAGCAGTAAATGCAAATATTTACTTCTACTGAAACTACAGTAATGTAACAAAATAATTTACTCTTCTCATAGTAGTGCATAATTTAAAAACTAGAGGAGCTACAAGATCACAAAGTCGTACCAGCGAACACGCATAAATTTCAAATTCTTCTTTTGTTTTGTTTGTAGTGGAGAAGGTATAAGGAAAAGGTTAAAAAGGAATTGAACACTTGCCACAAACTTTTATTTAATAATCCCTACATTTTGTTTTACTTGTGGCATCATCCTCATATTTAAATATTATTTGCATTGCAAATCGGACATGGCTCTTAGTAAACAAAAGGATATTTTACTTGAAATAACGTGTACAGTCTCTTTAAGACTGACTAGCTGCGTAGGTTTCATTCTTATTAGTCTCCCAGCCTGCGCCAACAATTTAGATCTGAGTGATTTTAACGAAGTTTTTGACAAATTTAATTTATTTCTGATTTTCATCATTTAACTGGTTTCTGTGGGAGGATTTGAAATCACTGTGATCCTTAACATTCATTTTAGCACTGCCGTAATTTAGCATACTTTGTATCACAGTGCCTGTAAACTTAAACAATTCATATTGATACTTTGATATTAAAAATATTTAAAAAAAATGTATATCCTTTTTTCTAATCATGAAGGAAAGTCATCAGAAAAAGTAAGCAGTTTTGTTGAGAATTTTTTTAGGATTCATTTGAGACCCATCAGACTTTTTTACGGTGCATCAAGACAGCAAATAAAATTTTTTAAATCCTCATTGCTTGTCCGTTTTGGAGTGATTTTGAGAATCGGTTTAAAAAAGATTAAAACTCGAAGACGAAAAATGTAACAAATATTCTATAGTAAACTAGTTAGATGTTTAGGAATATATTTCTCAACAAACATGTCTTCATAATCAATGTTAGAATCAATTATTTCTTTTTCACCATTAAATTGAATTTCTTATTCTTTACAAATTTGTTCGCAAATTTTTTCAAATTCTTTAAATATCGTCTTTTCAATAACAATTCCAGGATATTGACATAAAATGTTAAGGAACAATAAGATATTACAGAAAGAATAAGATTACTTAATTTTGATGATAAGAGTTTATTTTATTTTGTCCACCTGTTTCTAAACAACTAGTCAGTTTATTGTAGAATTTGTTTAATTAGATTTTTCGTGGTCGTCATTGAATAATTAAAAAATACCGAGTCTCAAAATTATCCCTCCTACATAGACAATCTGTGAGGAGTTTAAAGATTAGATGTTCGCTCTTGCTGAACAAATATGCACCGTGAAAACGTCTGATAGGTCTAAAATAAAAACATGACTCTACAATACTGCATTCTCTGCTCAACTACTTTGTCTAGCCAGACACTCCCTTTAAATTTTTAAGAAATGATTACTACTTACTTGAATAAAGTTTCCCATTTTTGTTTTGAAATATGTTTGATATTATTTAGGTTTATCTCCATTAGTTCACAATCATTCTCCTGGTTTCGGAGATCCATATCTTGTATAAATAGCTTGATTAGGAACCAAAGAGAATAGAATATATTAGAGTGGAATTTACTCCAAAAAAAGTGTAAAACGGCCATTTTATTGTACTGTTTCCAAACTGCTGGTGTACTTCACACATGTGTGCTATATAACCTTTTGGGCCCTGGAACATCATTTTATTGAAAAGTTTTCTTGAAAATTATTTGATTTTCTCTAAATCAATTCTTTGATTGCCTGTCATGTATTCCCCAGTTCATTTCAGCATAAGCTTCAATAAAAATCAATTTGATGTTTTTATTTAGTAAAAAACATATTTTTTAATTCACTTTACTACCGACATTTTTTACATTTTAATGTTAAATAAAATATTTTTAATAATAAAATTTTAATTTAAATAGAAATAGATAAATAAATAGTTTAATATGAACCATCCCTGAGCTTTTTTGATAACCTCGTCAATATTTGTATCGTTTGGCGCTTCTGCAGGAAAAAACTAAAAAAACTTTTTTTGTACAATTGTATATAAATTGTACATAAATAATTTGTGTACAATTGTACATAACTTAAAACTTTGGAATAGGAAGAAAACTTTATGATTTAATTTATCATCTCAAATAGTCCAAGATTTAAACCGCACAGTAATAGTGCATTGTGCAGTGTACACAGGCCCATTTCACTCATTAAGCAAATTTTCAAGTTACTGGTTCAGCTTTGTGTTTTTAACAACATCAAATAAACATGAGATTGCTTTGATGTCGTCTTCCTATTCCACAGTTCTCAAAAAGAAATATAAGATTTGTAAATGAAACACCAATTATCATCTAAGCATACCTTGTAACCATATACTTTTTCTAAAGGGGTGGGGGGAAGCACTCCCTTAGCTTAAGAATAAATGTCCATAAAAAGGTACTTTTTATTATACCTTTAGAGCTGCAGCAACACAATCATCCTAAAGATATTATTTAGATAAAAGTATATATGTAATAAACGTAATTATAGTAATTAATTAATTAATAGTAATTAACCCAGCGCTGCCCAGGTTACTCATAATTACTCGGTACTACCGCCGTTTACCCGCACTTGAACGATTTTACCGGGAAACTAAATTGTCGATGTTAAAGTCAACTTAGAATCTTAAAACCAAGCTAAGAATATTCCCGTGGGCCTCCCGATTTCCCCAATCAAAATTTCAGGCATATCAGTCCGGGGGTTGATAACAACTTTTTAAATATATCGATCGATACAATAATAATAATAATAATAATATTATTGATAATAGTCTTAATAATAATGATAACAACAATAATAATAATAATAATACCTGAAAAGTAACCCCTAGAATATCAGCAATATCAATAATATCATCAGCTGTTGCCATGTTTAATGCTTCCCTAAAAATTCATATTTTTTGTCATAGACAAATCAATGTTACGACTTTAAATAAAGACCTAAAACTTTAAATATAATTTTGAATGGGTAACTACTTTCTGCCTTACAATTGTCATTAAGTGGTAACATGGTTTCAATTTGTTTATAATAATGTTCAAGTGTGCCCACTGCCCAGTGCCTACTGCCCATATACTAAAAACGGGTTT